TCTTTAATATTTTTAATTGTATGAAAAAAAGTCAGATCAATCTAGCCAGATATCTTCGAATGTTAAACACTTCCAGAGGTGCAATGGGTATATTAATTTTTTATTTTTCCGGTTTTTCCTTCGTAGAATGTCCTGAAGGACGTTATGGTAATAATTGTCAGGACACATGCAATATTTATTGTGGACGTACAGGAAAATGTGACAGAATGACAGGACAATGTGACGGAGGCTGTCAGGAAGGCTGGAAAGACAAGAAATGCGACAGGAGTAAGCAATCTTAAATATGTCTTCTATATCGTATTTATCTCCAAATCAGGATAAAACTCTGTCATTCATGTGACTGAAAGGTGACTGAAAGAAAAGTGAAAGGTGACTGAATGGCAAAGCTCTGCCATTCAGTTACATTTCCAGACCTTTCATTAAACATCCAGTCCACTGAATTTCAGAGTTTCATCCTGTGCAATTTACTTTCATGTGCATAAAATCTTTTATTCAGGATAGTTCAAAGGTAGTTTATCAATCTAAGATTTTTCTAATAGAATGTGACAGTGGAAAATTTGGACTAAATTGTACTCAGTCATGTGGTGTCTGTCTTGGAAGAGAATTTTGCCATCACATAAACGGGACATGTTTAAATGGCTGTGATAAAGGTTACCAAGGAATCAACTGTACACAAGGTGATGTGTGATCAAACAGAGAGTGTTGTCTTACAAAAAATGTACATATCTAAACATTACATCCATTGCCCATTTTTACTTTCTAGCATGTCCAGATGGACTTTATGGATACAACTGCCAGGATAAGTGTAGCATCAACTGTACAGATCCCAAGAGTTGTGATCCCATATCAGGCCAATGTAGTGGTATAAATATATTATGTTATTAACATAAATCTAACTTTGCTGCATACTTTGATATTTTACTCAAAAAATTGCTTTGAGGGATTTGGGGCTTTAAATAGCCATATCAGCAGATATATAAATGCCAGTGGACTATTCTTTTTCTTTTCACAATGTATTTTCTGCATCTTCATACAGAATGACGTAACACATTTAAACAAATGATATCACAAATTTCAGTTTACTAGTTCTAATATTGTCATAACATAAAATACGGATATTCCAATTATATGCATAAATATATATATATCTCTAATAAAAAAGAAAATGGCTGACTATTGGGAAATTTGCTATGATGGTCCGCTTAACCGCAAAAAGACCCCGGAAGAGTTTATTTCCCTATATTCAGTCAATATTCTGTAATTTTACAGAGCTTTCAAGGTATCTCTGCATAATTCATTCAAATTCATTTCTCAAACGGCAGCTACAAAATAAAAATAAACTGAAAAGTATAAAGAAATAAAAAAGTACTTTGGTAGATTATCATTTGAGGACCTTAAACAATATTAATTGTCTAACAACATGAACAGACGTGTCCTTAACAATATAAAATTATACATTGGTTCTCTTAACGTTTAACTGATATTTTTATGACACAATCTGTTGCCACATAGAAAAAAAATGTTCAACCGTTCACTCAAATATGTGTCTTGTATACCAAGCTCATCATAGAGTGTTCGTATCCTCTTGGAGTTATTTCCTCTGAAACTACCCCACAATGTCTTCAAATCATTAAAAAGAAATACTCTATGATTTAGTATTTTTTTATTTTAAATTTGATTGCTCATACTATGTATACACACGCAATGCATCCCCTGATATAGTAATTTTGCATTAAAAGTATAGTTAAGATACTTTACTTAATTGAATCAAATTATGTTATGTTTTCATTATAGTAAATCAATGTTGAATATGAATGTTACCGCTCGAAATGATCATTCAATACAAAATGAACGTATTCCATACCAGCTTATAACACTGTCAGGCCCTCACTATATGATCTCTTTTGTGCAAATCTTAATAGTGAAGACTGTAATATAATTTCTTTAAAAAATGATTTAGTTAAGCAGTTTAAAACGTAGCTTCTCGTCTACTATTTTGGGTGTAATTGATACACATTCCGATGGTTTCCAATAAAAAAAATGTCATATAAGTAAGAAAAAAAGTCTAACTAGTAAAAAACAAAAAAAGAAGGATATTTACGTAAAGTTGACCTATTTTTTTAGCATGTAATCCCGGATGGTACGGTAGAGATTGTGAGATAGAATGCGGTAACTGTGACGGTAATGAGACTTGTGATCACGTGACTGGGGCGTGTCCTTACTTATGTCAACCTGGGTATCAACAGGAAAAATGCAATATACGTAAGTTCGAACATTGAACTCTAGTAGAAGCACAACTTATTTATTTATTTAAACAACATTTAACATTAATTTAACTTTACGTTTAAGGCATTTAGGCTATCAATTTAAATTTTTAACCACAATGTGCCTTTTTTAATTGTCCTCCACATATGAATACTTATTTTGTTTTTAATTGAAAAAAGTCATTTGTAATCGTAAATACGTAATTTTAATCATTTACATCTGAATTGCAAATGATATCATTAAAACATGGTTCTCTGAATTTCTAACATATTCTTTTCACTTTTTCAGCCTGTTATCCTGGTTGGTATGACAGAGAATGTAAAGAATGATGTGGCTACTGTAGAGGCAATAAACCGTGTCATCACGTGACCGGATCCTGTTCTGGATTATGTGAACCCGGATATTATGGAGATAAATGTGAAGACAGCGTGTTTTCCCAACACCTTCCAAATCAGAGAGAAATGATTAAATTAATGAGAAAATTCCTTGCTTTTAAAATACGCAGAGATGATCTAAATGAAAGTACTTCTCCGACTGACTTTTAATAAAAGGGAAATACTCTCTTAATGAGAGCGCTTGATCTTCTAACTATTCACATGGTTTATAGCTTACATATTTTACATTGTTGGTATTTGTAGAATAATGTTTATTTTCATTTTCATTTTTTTCCTACCTACAAACCACAGTCGTCATATGACATTATTGTAAGTAAGCTCAAGCAAACCTAGATAAAATGATCCTCTTCATGTAACATTTTACATTCAAATACTTCATGTAACTAACCATCTTTCCTGAATACTGTGATGATCTTTTTTAAGGTTAGGTTAATTAATTTATATGTTCTTCAATTTTGTATTTATATATCCTTATCATTCAATTAAAGTTCAGTGAATAATGTTTTCGATTTCCTTGAAAATTCCGAAGAATAATGTCAGGATTCTTTATAAAAACTTTTGTTCTAATTACATGTTTTTCCCCATAATATTTTGTTCAAGTGAAACGATGACAAAGTTAAAGGAAGATCGTTTATCAGAACTGAGTTGTGTAACATACATGTAGGCTCAAAAAACGTATAATTTTAAATTAGGAGTAAAAAGTCGTGTTTATAAATTGTGGGCTCTTTATATGCATTACAGTAGTATGGTTACAGGTTTCACTAACATGAAATACATAAAGGCATCACAATACCCTCAACGGTTATTGCAAAGATCGCATAAATCACAAATATCATGAACTAATTATCAGTAAATATAAAACTTTTTCTTCTAAATCTGACTGCTCACACTAGGAAAAAAGATCTTTGATTGTGACGCGTTATCTGACTGGTTGTAGGCAATCAACTTACAGGGCCATAAATCTTTATTTTATGCTTACATCATATTTAATCTGTTCAGAGACCTCGATAAATTACCTGCAAAGCATCCTTTATTAATGAAAATTTCTGAGAGCAGCAGACACAAAATTTACAGTGGTAGAAAAATTTCATATACAAGACAGTCCTGGAATAATCGATCTTCCTTCCAATAAGGATGCTTAAAAATCGAAGGCAATTATTTGTGAGATATCTAAAAGACTTTAGTGTTTCAGTGAATTGAAAAAAAAAAATAAAGAGTGATAGCGAATTTGAAGATTGTTGTTTATTTGAAAAGGCTTGTTTTATTCTGGTATATGAAACAAATCTGCATGAATGTTCGGGAAATGCAAAGAATCAGCCAAAAACCCACATCCAAAATACCCAGAATAAACGATTATATTTGGCTGAAACTTTTTTTTCAAGATTCCCCAAAAGTCAAACAATAAATGTATTTTATTATGATCTTTTTTATCAGTTGTTACTTTTATATCCCGTCTGATTCCTCAATTCTATTTTAAAACAGCACATTTGATAACAAGTTACATCCACGTTTGAGTCTTAAATACATATGCTAAAAGTGTTCAAATACAATTGTTATTAATCTCATCTCATGAGTTTTCCTTTTTTTTCGCCAGAGTTCCATCATGGATAAGTAATACTTTCATAATGTTTATTATTTGAAATCATTACTTTCGTGAAAGGTAGAAACCTTGGAAATATTATGTCAAATGTAACAAACGATTTAATCAAATAAAACGATATAATCAAAACAATCAAATATCCTACAGACTAATAAATTTCTTATCCGTTAAGTTGTACATTGATCAGCATTAGACTTAAGTAAACATAACTCATGTCACCAATAATGTATATTTGAAATGGTTTTCAGCGAAATAACAATTAACAATAACCTATAAACCCCCTATGAAACTTCGATCAGATTTTCAGTATTTATGGAGGGTTTTTGTGTGTTTTTGTATAGGAATTAAAAAAAAAAAAAAATTAGTGCAGCTTTCGTGTTTCGTCACATTTCTCAAATTATTGATATGCAAAGCAATACACTATTAAGAGATAGTTTAAAGGTTTAAATCTGTATCACCATTATATTGGCTTCAGCAATAAAAATCACAAATTCTTCCATTCAATACTCGTAAAACACATTTTAAACTGTTTTAATGATCTTTTCCTGTACTTAAAAAAAAAAAAAAAAAAAAAAAAAAAAAAAAAAAAATACAAACAAACAAACATATACCTGTTAGATTTAAAACCCTACGGTGTCGTCCCATAGCTATGCATACGTGACATAATTCACAATTTAAAACTGCTATAGGTTATTGTGTAAAATTTACTTCCTGGATTCAAATCATTCCGTATCAAACGGAATGAATAGTGAAACTGGATTGTATTTCTGTCTTTTTGGAGTACTATTGACTGATAGAATTATTTCTGCTTATGGTGAGAATTATTTGCTTATGTTTTTTTTTCTCTCTCATTAGAAGCAACAATAATCAAAAACCTTCATTTCGTTCATCTACAGTAAAGTCCTAAATTTCATTCAAATACCTTTGACTTCCTGTCAAATCCAACAGTTCTTTACTGATGTTCAAATTGTTTCTATGAAAAGAAGATAATGAGTCTTGAATCTCACTTGTATGCCGGGGTCCTATGGTACCGGTGTACTTAACTTTGAAAGTCAAGTAATCGGGCAAAAAAGTTTTATATAATCATTTACGATGTTGTGTCAATAAAAAAATAAATAAATTACCTGTCTATGATGTTGTAATTGAATTGTTTACATATTTTACCGTAATAAAGACACAAATCTAACCGAGTCTAGCGTTTGAGTATTCAAGGGACGTTACTCTGGTACCGGTGCAAATGTATGGTCAGCTAGAAATGTCATAAAATAAACAAAATATGCCTTTGATTTTTTGTTAATCAACAGATTTACCAAAACAAAAACATGTTATATTAAATATGAATTTACATGATACGGTCAGAAATTATTTCCTTCTAAATTAGTTAAAATAAGTTGATCTAATCAGTAATAAATGAATATCCTTCAAGTTTGCTATTTACTTACATGTATCACAGTGAGGATAATTAAACACAAAACTTACTTTATTATACTTCTTCCAGAGATTCCTAGTTAAATAATATTGTTGGGGAAATCATTTTATATATTTTTATACTAATGAACATTTTTTAAGTTAAAAAAAATTAAAACATTTTTTTAAAAACAACTTTATATAAATTATTGTATTTTGAAACCTTTTTCAGGCTAATTTGAAGCGATGTTATAACAAATTTCACTATTATTTCGCCTTTGAAAAACTGTATAATTTTAACAGGAACAGCGTTCCATATATTTTTTTTTACATGTCACGTGACGAAAAAACATCAGACGACAACAAAGCTGAAGGCTGTCTGGAGAAATGGTTTACAATTTAATTGTTAATAACACTTTATCTGTGTCTGGTATGAAGAGTGGTGCAAAATAACACAGAAACTATGGGTCTTGTGAAAAATAGCTGATTTCTTACCAAACGACGTAACATTTCATACATAAATTAGATAAATCTTGACAGCAGGGTATCACTTCTCATCTCTAAAAATAGCCGGCCACCAGGTGTCGTTTTTTGCACGCGACAGTTAAAAATAGAAATACACCGGTACCAGAGAACCACCGGTATCATAGGAAGCGAGTATATTACCATAATGCACCTCATCCTCAAAAATTATTGTGATATTCACATTCATATAATGCACCTCATCCTTCAAAAAATATTGACCGTCATGGTAACCCATTCGGTAACGCGCTCGCTCCGTGATCGTAAGGTCGTGGGTTCGAGCCCAGGCCCCGACTGACCTAAGTCGATAAAAATTAGGTACAAGCGTTCGGCACTTTGAAGTGAAAGTTGTGGGTCCTCCGGATGAGACTTAAAAAAAATCGAGGACCCGTGTCACGGCAGGCGTTGGCACGATAAAGATCCCTCACTGCTCAAAGGCCCTGAGTGCCGAGTAAAGGTCTAAATTTGAAGCCCTTCGCCGGTATATGTGACGTTTCTATAGGAGTGAAATATTCTCGAACGGGACGTAAAACAACATATAATCAATTAACCAAAAAATATATTGTGATTGATTGACCCACTCCTAAAAATTCCTGTCGTTCAGTTTTACTGTTTTTTGCTTTGTTTTGTTTTGTTTGTTTGTTTGTTTGTTTTTTGTTTTTGTTTTTGTTTTGCTTTTTTTGTTTTTTTTTGTTTTTTTGTATTTTAAACAAGACAATGTATAATATATATTTGTATGTACATGTCAGCTATCAAACAGGATCAGAGAGTTCTTGAGCTCATTGCCGCTAGAACAAGAAAAGGTTAACAATACGACAAAAATAAAATTAAAACGAAGCAATACTGTATACTAGAGATATTAAGATACCCCCCCCCCCCCCCTCAGCATATCTAATTTTGTATCTTTTTGATATACAAAGAATGTAAAAGCTTGTTATTTTTAATCTGTTTCAAAATATCTTAAAAGACATATCAATTTAAGCGGAAAAAAAAAAAAAAAACAACAAAAAACACCATCATCATGTATGTAGCACAAATGCTGGTAATGTATCTCACTTTTTCATGAGGAAACTTGTAAAAGTAGCAATACTATAATTACACTTTACACGTTCTTGAGAAGAAAAATATATATATTGAATTGAGGAACTCTCGTTTAAACTTAAGTAACTTGGCCTCGGGCATAAAGCAACGTTAATGTAAATCAACAAAAGATGTGTAGAAAACCAATTTTACGCTTGATTTTTATTTTATTTAAACTCCTTCACGATTTTTTTTACAGACAACAAAATAATTAACTACTTCAGAAATTCATGTACTAAGCACACATTCCCCCGACCCTCTAGTTTTTTTTTTTTTTTTTTTTTTTTTTTTTTTTTTTTTTTTTTTCAATAAATTCTGCAATTTTATATTTGTATCTTCTCATGTGAGTGCAAAGAAGGACATGTGCATATGTTCATTTGCACAATCGTCTAGACTAACAATTTTTTCATAACGTTCTTCAAGTGCTAGAGGGAGAGAAAAAGAAAAATTGGAAAAATAAAAAAAATAAGGAAATTTATATCTTGTTAAAAAATTCTTAAATTGCTTAAAGGAAAAAAAAAATGCTTTTGTAAAACAAAATAATAGGTTAAATCAAATGTCAACTGGTGCTTGTAAATAAAAAAATTGAATGTATGTGTCTGCATGTCAGCTGGCGATTACTATACACAGTTATCAAGAAGACGATTTTTTTAATTAAAAAAATATTAATAAAACCCCCGCCCTGTTTCCCTGTAAATATACGTCAATGTCGTATTGCTCATCATTCCCATGCATAAAATTAGTGTTAAATTTTACTTCAGGTTTAATGATGAATTTGCAATAGTTATCTCATCCACTCAGATGCTCAGCCATAAGATATTTAAGGCAAACATTTTTATTTCATTATAATCTATATTTGCTTTATTTATGTATTTATCTGAGTGTGTTTCTGAATAGAGAATAAAATTTTAATTTTAAAAATACAGAATAAAGGACACACACGAAAAATAATTGTTGCTAGCTCATAAGATCTCTACAAAAACAGTTAAGAAATTTAAATTTTATAGATAAACACCGTGTTCTGATGGCTGTAAACATTTCCCTTATAAGGGTTTGACGAATCATTGACAAGAAGCTTGAAGTCATGTAAGATGTATGCATTCATTTCCTTTGAAAATAAAAAAAAGAAGCATTTATGAGAAAAATAGACTACCAGCGAATTCCCTACCCCGTCCATACCTGCACCCATTTTTTGATCCGAAGCACTGTTAAAATTTAACACTAAATTCGACGCAAGCGTTTGGCAGTCACTTTATCATGAGCTGCGTATTCTTTTTGTATTACATTTTCTTGTTAAAGGTATTTAGTAATATGTACCTTTTTCCGACCAACAGCCAGCTGTTTCACACCAGTAAGGAATCCTGTATAATAATAATTCCATATACCGGTTTATGTATAGAATAGATCTCATTAAGAAATAAAAAAGAAGAAAAAGAAAACTTCCAAACATCCTAAGTTTCAGCGCTGTATTTAAAAATCATGAATAAATATTAATACCAGCTGAGACGACAACTCCAAGGTTTAGTCTTACGGATCGAACTTAGTGGGGTTTTTTTATTCCTTGAGGCGATAAAAATACATTGTATCTGTATCTTTATGTTAGATACTAATGTACAATGTGGTTAAATGAAAAGCTTTCATATTTATTTAAATTCTCTATACATCTCACCAAATATAGTTATATATGTAGCATATGATGTAACTTTGAAAATAATTGAGTTACGATTATTAAATAAAATCTTTTGGAAGAACACTTCGCCTACCAACAAAGAAATTATACAGCGGAACTTATTAGAAGAATAAAAGACAGAAATTCCCCTGTTAGGATGATTTTTCCAAGAATACATTCAATTTATTAAAAAACAATATTGCTGGTTATAACACTGTTGTTAAATGTTTTCATAATTCAGTGTTGTCTGTTGGTGAAGATGAATGCATGCTTGGGAAAACAAAAGTGTAGTTGATAAAATTAAGATTTACAACGACAGTATATTTTCAATCTAATTACAGAAAACGTAGCAATAAACAAGACTGCCTGGCAGCAGTATCCGTATCCTGGCCAGCCATGGGGAGCGGATAAAGCAGTGGATGGCCGGTTTTCAAACCGGTCACATCATGGAGGACAATGTACAATATCTAACAATAAAAAACGAACGGCAATCTGGCGGGTGGATTTAGGACGAGTGCTCAGTATACATCATATCACTATCTATTACAGGACGGACAATATTCCATGGGGTACTGTAAAAACAGCTAGTTCAAATTTAGTAATATATTTTAGCATTGTTATAATTTCATTTTTTCAAAATTTTTTGTACTCCTCATAGAGGAATGTCACTGGTTACTAAATAGGCTACTAACTGCATTAGTACATGCATCTTTGAAAATAGTTTCTTCTTTTTCTTTGCTTAAAACATGTAAAATATCTAAATAAAGAAAAAAAAAATCGATGAGTTATCAATGCTGAATTCTCAAATATGTGAGAGACTACTTATCCTTACTTGTCCATTCTTTTTTGTGTAAACATCTTGGAATAAAGCAAGTTTACCTACTATATGGTCTTTATTGATTTTAGATAGAGTATCATCTCAGTTTAAGAACTTTTGCTAAATGGACTGATTGTATGTTCTTTTCACTCCTGCATGTAGAGATATCACATGGCCGTAGGAACCGGGGGGGGGGCATGCCCCCCCCCCCCAATAATTTTGCCGATATATAGATAACTGTAGAAAACATTCCCACTATATGCTTGTGCCCCCTCAATAAAAACGTCTGATGACTTTTGTTTTACTTGTCAAGGAATCTTTGGTTGGTAGTGCCCCCTCAACTGAAAACATATGGCTGTTCCCCCCAAACTGAAATTGCTTCCTACGGGCCTGTATCACCTACTTCAGGTGAAGTGTCTTGGCTTTTAAACCATAGATATATGAAATAATTCTAATTTGGTGGAGAAATTTTATCTATTAAAAATAAAAGTGTAGTGTGCCGAGTACTGAAAATAATATACTTCTGATATTAGTCTCTTTATCTCATTTTTCTGGTCTTCATTTTATTAGACTCTAATTCTCTACAAACTTCATCGTGAATTCAAGGATTTTCTTACAGAAATCTTATCTAAGACATGAAAATGAAATGTTAAGCAAGTATCTTGTTCAATTTGTTAAGCTCATAAAGATCCCGAACTTATTTGCATATTTGAAATGTTTTTTTAACAATACTGAATACTGTTCGTTATCTTTATATTTCACACCTATATTATTGAATTTTAATAACATTTCTCCAGATTCAAGCAATGATTACACAGCTCGATTCCTTGGCTTCTCTATTTACATATCGAACACAACTAACAAAGATGAAGGAATTTTATGTTTTAAAGACACAAACTATACAAGGGCCATAATACCGGAAAATGTAACGATAGAATGTGTAAAACATGGACAGTACGTCATTTACTACAATGAGAGACGCCCAGGAGTTACCTACCCTGATGGATATTCCATGTACGCATTCAACGAGCTATGTGAAGTTGAAGTTTATGGTAAGAAGAGACAAGGAAAATTCGCCCAAACAGGGTTATTTTTACGTACCGCACCTATTAAATGGAACATTTTTTTTTTTTCAAAGTAAAAAATAGATGTTTTATGAGAATGAAATGCCATACAAATACACGTACAGAGAGAAGGTGTATCTTAATTTTCCTTTTCGTAGATAACATTATTGTTTATTGTTTTAGTTTGCAGTTGAATATGAATACGTTTTAAATATTTTAAGAAAACAAAACCCACTTAAAACTAATTTCTTGCAAGTGAAAATATTATAAAAGGACCATTTTTTATCGATGTTAACACATAAATAGGGATGCTTTTGACATCTGTACTTATGAGACCCAACCTTCTTAAATCAATCTTCTTCAAAACCTCATAAGAAATTATAATGTTCTGGAAATGAAGCAATAAAATTTTCAAACACAGATTAGTAATATCGATAAAACACTACCCCAAATTTTATTCTCAAGCAGTACATCTCGGTGACAGACTATTATTATCAATGTAGAAACGTTTGACTTTCCTATTCTTTTTCTTTGTTAAAATTGTGATACGTTGTTGTTATAAGAAAAAGGATAGTGATGATGACGATAATGATGATCGACGTCATGAATATCACTTTTGCATATTCAATAAGGATAAGAAACTAATCTATAATCCTTTAAATTTAAAAAGGATACTGTAAGATATATGCACAGGGGATAATATAGTTTTCTATTGTCATCACTTGATTTTTAGGATGTCCTTCCTCAGGGTTTTATGGAAACAATTGTTACTTACCCTGTCCACTAAACTGTCAAGAGGGTTATTGTAACATTGTAAGTGGATCTTGTATGGGGTGTATTACAGGTTTTAAAGGTCCACGATGTGAGGAGCGTACGTAAATTTATTCCTTCTGAGAAAGATAGAGAAGAATAATATATTTAGAGAAAGAAAGAAATTTGAATTGATCATTTTGTTTTCTTGCGTAAAAATTTCAATTTTCTTTAAAGTCAACAAAGTCCTTATTAAATAACCTATAGCTATAAGTTAAGAAACTTGATTGTGACCTATTTGATGATTTCTGTTCTGACGCTAACGTTAAATTAAAAGTAAATATTATTAGTCAGATCATTGATTTGATATAGCTAAAGAAACTGATACATTACTGTCACATTATTCCCGTTTTTGTTTCTTATTTTTTTAAACAAATATTGGCATTGTTTATGTTCAAATTTATTATAATTTAATGATTACTTCCTGGGTTTTTGATTTTTAAGAATGTGATAATAATCGATATGGCTTTGAGTGTAACCTCACCTGTGGTAACTGTAGCAATGGAGAACAATGTAATCATGTGAAAGGAAGTTGTCCAAACGGATGTGATGTCGGTGCTCAAGGAGATACATGTGACGAAGGTGAGATAGATCTTTTTTATTCCGACTCATTCTTTTACTTACACTTTCAACAGAAATGCTCTCTTTTTCCAATACCTGTTTAAAAAGTAAATATGAAAACGTAATTGTAGAGACTCTGTGACACGAATGTTCCGAAATTTTGTAAAAGACATTATAAAGGTGAGATTTCTGGACCAAAATCTAGTAAATGAGGTACAAGAAAAAAACCTTTAGTGAACATTTGTCTCATGATTATATCTTGGCGTCACGGGTTTCCTATAGTCTAACAACAACCACGGTCTGAATTGATTCCCAGTTTTGTCAATGATTTTCAAACCCTATTAGTTTTTAACATTAAAAAAATCGCCGATAATAAATTGACATAAAGTCGTCATCATATGAATTTTCTAGCTATAAATGAAATGGATACCGTATTTGACGAATCAAAACCAGCGTCATATGTTTCTGATAGTTTGATTCGTCGGTATGTTTCTTTACTAAAGTATGGTGAACAACTGCATGAAGCAATAATCAAATTAAAAAAAGCTATTTTATAGTAAAAGATATATTTGACATATTTAGGTACACGTATCTTAAATTTGCAATTATACACCTATGAATGAAATTCTACTAAATATTGAGTATATTCATATACAATGTTGACGTAAACATTTCTTTTTAAATTGCAATTATATTTGGTAGCTGTCATCTATTAACAGCATGGACAATTATGTTGTGTTTTTGACAACACGAACAGGTGAACAGTAATGCAGGTGAACCCAATGTCTACATGACTTGATTGAGCCCATTTGACTATAACAATTTCATACACATTTCTTGACTTTACATAAAAATTCTTGCATACACAACACTTCTCATCTTCACTCATTTGTGATTCATATTCTTCTTCATCTGAGTTTAAAATATAATTTTCTGAATCAATGAGATTGATATATGATGGACAAGGTTGAGATGATGATGCTATTAATTTCTTGGTCTTTTAGTTGTTTTTTATTCACAGTTTTTGGTGTTTTTTTTGTTTTTTTGGTTTTTTTTTGTCTTTTTGTCTTTTGTGTAACGTCCCTCTCGAGAATTTTTCACTCATATGGAGACGCCACCCCTTGCCGGTAGAAGGCTGCGAATTTACACCTATGCTAGGCACTCAGGGCCATTGAACAGTGAGGGATTTTTTTCTGTGCCAACACCCACTGCGACACGGGACCTTGGTTTATTCGGTCTCATCCGAAGGACCGGTCTCCACGTCCCGCAGTGGATTCGAACCCGAGACATAAGGATCAGCTCCTTATTCCGCGACTCTAGATCAGACGCTCTAACAGACGCTCTAACCACGGCGCCACGCGGGCGACCACAGTTTTTTGTAGTTTTAGAACTAAATGTGTTGAATGATTTTTTTTAGCAATCTTGCTTAAATATTCTTTCATTTTTCCAAGTGTTTCATCTTCAGTTACAGCTTTCCCTCCAATTACATGACTGATGTTACTTCTCTTCTTTTTTAAGATTTCAATTTTATTTTGAACGTCTCCGCCTTTCTTTGAAAAGATACCTTCATCAATAGATGAATAACTATCTCCAGTGCAGTTAATTTGTTTCTCTTAGCAAGAAAGTGTCTGTTTTGATGTTGCAAGTTCATTTGCCTCAGTTGTGTTTCTTTCTTCGGTTTCAATTTTGGAATTATCTCCCATTTCATTTTGGTAGAGGAGGGGGCAGAACAAAAAGAAAAACGTTGTTTTAGTCCAATCTATTAGATCTAATAAAATGTGGCTACTATGACCATGAGAAAGGCAAGTATAGCCTCAGATGGATTTCGACCTTGAACATACTTTAGAAATTGGTTGTTTATATATAAAGGAAAAACTTACTTCAGAATTTGACCATCCACTATGTGTCATTGTTCCATCAGCACCAACAGATTTCCCGGAATCATCCGCTGACATGGAAAAACAAAGCATGGGGAATTTGATTTCCTAGTGCATTCCCGAAACCAATTACTGGAATTGTTTTGATCTTTTCTGACATAACTGCTTGAGGATGGTATCCTTTTCTTGCAACTATATTAGAGGGCTTGCTCTGTATTCATTCCCTTTTCATCGATGTTATGTATCAAATGGGGCTTATCCTTTAAGTTATATTTTTTCAAGAATTGATTCGATGTCACGGAAGTATGATCTTATTGAAGTTTCTTGTGCAAATCTTGCCCTTAATTCAGAAAAAAAAAGCTTGATGGTGTAACAACTTTTAATTCTGGCCATCTTCTCATAAAACTGTAAACCCATTGCATGCATAAGCATTTTTCTTTCAAACAGTTCTACAGGTGTAATATTACCATGGTGAGTACTTCTGTCCTTGTATAACCATAACCAAGAGAAGCTAATTCTTTCAAATGGTTTACAAGTTTGACCTCATCATACTGAGACAGGAGAAGCTCCGAACCAGATCTTGTACGGTTAACCCTATTGCCAACAAGGTCTCTGAGATTTGTTAAGGGAACAGCATGTTCCTTAGCTACCCTGTATACAGGGAATCCATCTTGTTTCACTGACTTATACGCCCTGACAAGTGCGGGTGAGGAATTACAACGTTTTCTTTTATTTGTCACTGCTTAAAATATTTTAAAATGACGTTATTCAAAATATCTCTTTAGAAATCATCTAATTTTATGACGGCTTTCGGCTTCCATACATAGAAAAACTAATAAAGTCACATGATAACTTTACAACTGGAAGTGTACTTTATCAGATGATGAGCGTCTTTAGATACAGTACCAATCCAAAGGGTTTTCAGAGGATTTTTATGACCACAATTTAAGGTAATAAGAAAAATGATATTTACATCGCTTAATGCAGTTTTTTTCCCCTGATATTTACTTTTGCACACAGCATAATTTTGATCTTTTACATATATTGATCTGGCGAGATTCCCTACGTAAGATGTCCTTATTGATTAGAAATATAATGTAATTTTAGTGAAAACTCACGCGACGAAAATAAACTATCGGAAACATTACTATTGGGAACATATGACGACACGATATGTTCCAATCATTGTTTATCTTCGGCAATTATAAGCTATAAAAAATACACTATATAAGTTAACAGTCTTTAATAGATAATCGAAGGCCTAACCTTAACATTCACAGGTTTGAATATGATTCTTTCAGAGATGGATAACTATATTTTATGGAAAATAAGTCTTTTGATGTTGCAGCTTAATATTTTTTGTACTCAGTGTGATTTATGTCCGAATGTTTGCTAAAGGTAATGTAATACTTAAGTCAAAGAAAATATTTTTTGGTATAATTTGACGTTCAAACGAAGAAACTGACCAAAGGGAATATGCATTCACCCTTATCCTGTATCTGATAAAAATCTTGGAATTTCATTGGTCGAGAAGAATACCTTATTACATGGCGGTAGGAACCAAGGGGGAGGGGTGTGTGCCCCCAATAATTATGCCGATATATAGAATGCTATAAAAACACAGTTACTTTATGCTTGTGCCCCCTCAATAATAAAGTGAGGTGACCTTTCTTTTGTTTGCTTGTCAAGCTGAAATGTTTGTTTACCCCCCCCCCCCCCCTGAAATTGCTTCCTACTGGCCTGATATTAAAAGGTATAATGCTGCCCACCGACATTATATTGTTAATATGCCCCCATCTGACCTTCTCACAACATATCAATTCAATATACCCCGTCCACGTGCCTTACTGTCAAGATCATATTCAATATGTTTAATTTTGAACACGCCTAATAACTGACGTAACAATGAAAACAATTGTTACGGAACAGTTTGCTTAACTCGGACAAAATGAATTTTATTGAAAAATCTTCGATAGGATACGCCTTGCCCAATATGCATTTTTTCAGGGACCCCATATATATTCCTTATTTTTCCCTCTAAGTGTCTAAATAACTAATAAGATATACCCATTTTACGAGATATTCACAGTATTTCAATCATCTTTTCTCTGACAGCTTGTCCATTTGATAGACACGGAGAGAATTGTGTTGAGATCTGTAAACCAACCTGTAGAGGAGGCTGTAACAGATTCACTGGTGCCTGTGAGTTTGGATGTAACGCTGGATGGAAAGGAACCTTCTGTGAAAATGGTAATTTTTGGTTCAGACAGTTATTTTTGTTATTTCATTCTCTTGGATTTTTAATGAAATGGTAGGAAGGGCGTCGTGGATTAAATTACATTTAATGTACTTAAGGGCTTAATTGTTTATTGTTATTTACAATTTGGAAGAAAACATAAAAAAAGATATTGCAGTAAAGGATGAATGCATAACAGCAATACTATCTGTTATATCTATTTTTAATAGAATTTCACCATAGGTTTTTTTTCTTTCAGTTTTTGGTTCATATGCTAGAAAATAAGTTATGAAAATTAGTATTGCATCTTGCAGAATGTGATGGGTGGTTTTACGGTGCAGAATGTAGCATCTCATGTGGTTCTTGTTTAAATTTCGAACAATGTCATCACATCAATGGAACATGTTTCGGAGGATGTGACAGAGGATTTCAGGGAGAAAGATGTACAGAAGGTGGAAACGTTCTTTTTACATCCATTGCGTACACAAAAAGCAAATTTATTAATATTTAAAAAAAAAAAAAAAAATCAGATAAGATTTCAAGATTTTGAGAAACATTTATCTATGTTAGAATCCAGATCTGCTATAATTCGGGTCTTAAATGTTTCTTCTCATTCGTGTATATAAACAATGATTTAAATTCCCTTCAAAATTTTGCAGCTTCTTCGGTACAGACAATCCGAAACACAAACCAAGGAGAACACCTATATTTGCGGAGGTAGAAATGAATAGTTTTTATTATTTTCTTTTCATTTATCTATTTTTTTTTTTATTTTTCTCCTAGAATGTTCTGAAGGACGGTATGGCTATAATTGCCAGGAAACGTGTAACATCAACTGTGGAGTCCCTGGTAGATGTAACAGAGTAACAGGACAATGTCAAGGCGGATGTCAGGAGGGGTGGAAAGGGACGAGATGTGATCAGAGTAAGCTTTATTCAAAAACAGAATGTTTTGAATGAAATATAAAGTAACGAACAGTATTCAATCTCGAAATTCCAATGAAACGATACGAATTTGGAGCAGAACAAACACGGACCTCAAAATTTAGAGGTGGGATCAGGTGTCATGGATGAGTGAACATCCCCTGCCGACCAGTTACACCCGCCGTGTACTCCTTGTCATGATCGGGAAACAAAAACCGGAAATATCCGTAAACAATTCAGTGTATTAATAATGGCCTAACAATCACTATGAAAAACGTCAGTCATCATTTGACTCAATGACAGGTTGTATATGCTGACAAGGTCATTGTATCGACCGAAAAACTTGCGAAAAGATTACTTCAAACGAGATTTCTGATTTTTGAATCAGATACATTACTCAACTTTGATTATGTTTCGAGTTGAAAAAAAAAAAAATGAATGCCTTGACGGATCATAATATTTTATTGTTTTTATCAGTATTTCAATTGGAATTTTCATGCATGCATTGTTATGTGCATATTGTCAGTCTACAAAGTATGACAAATATGCAAAAATCATACTTGAACAATGTTTAAAATGATTTTCAAATAATAAAGTGTTTTTCAATTTTTATTATCTTTGTTAATATCTTTTTATTATAGATATTGTAAATATGGTATTTTCACTGTGAAATTTGTGTTAATGGACCTAGTAACTTCTAGCGTTAAAATGGCATATCATTTTAATATTATGTTTACAGAATGTGACGGTGGTACGTTTGGGCTAAACTGTGCACAGTCATGCGGGGTTTGCCTCGATAAAAAACAATGCCATCACATAAACGGGACTTGCTTGAATGGCTGCGATAAAGGTTATCAAGGAATTAATTGTACACAGGGTAATGTACCGAGGGCTCTATACAAAAAATTGAATATTACGTATATTTCTATGGATGAATAAATCAATGAAACCTGTCTGTTAAATGTCGTTCATGTCTCATCCAATTAATGAGAGACACCTATTTATAAAAAAAAAAATAAATTGACCAACATAGCAAATTGATTTTTTATATCTAGCTTTAAGTAAGCTGTATACAATAAGATAAATTGCTCTTCTATTGACAGAGCCAGAAGATTAACTTATCTTATTGTTCAAAATCAAGAAACACAAACTGATTTTTTTTTATTACATGTTGATAACAGTATAGTCCGTAGCCCTAGTGCCCACATGAAATTCATCCTTCTTAGATGCTAAATTAAAACTTATTCTTAGTTTTTAGATGGTCTTGAACAATATTTTGTTATCAAAACACCAATTACATGTAATTGTGACATGTATTATTTTGTTCTGACAATTGATATTTTACTCATACTGTGAATTTATATGAAGTTTTTGTTTTATTTTGTTAAATTTCAAACGATTTTTGTATAAATTGATTTAATATGCAAATGAAAGGATTTATTAAACACAAGTGAACTCCAAGATGATAATTTTAACAAATATTAACTGATACAAGCGATTATTTTTCTATGATCTCTCTTTAAATGAAAACTACTATTTGTATAGTCGGTAGCACATGGTCTCAAAATAGTCAATAAAAATATCTGACACGGTTTTTCTCTGAGTATTACCAAATAAGTTTGAAATTTTCATCCCCATATACAGTATCTTTAGAAATATTGAAGGTAATTTAATGTATTTTTACTTCAAATGTCCATATATGAAAAGTAGAAAAACTCTCAAAGATTAACAAATTTACCCATGTCCTTTATATACTGTAACATTTTAATTGAAATGATTTATGTGATTTTTTTTTTTTTTTTTTTTTTTTTTTTTTTTTTTTTTGCTCAGACAATATTTGGTGAAGGGTTTGTATTTGAATTATACTTTTTTTTCAGTTGAATATGTTCAAGATAAATGTTATGCCTGAATATGTATAGTCCGTAGCCCACTTGGGTCTTTACTATCGTAAGAGTGAAAACTTTTTAACCGCTTGACAGAAATGGAAAGAGATTTCAGACAATCTGTCAAAAAGATGTAGTGTTACATAGAACATACTTGTAATTCATTTCATTTCACTTTGACTTTATATTTTTTTTTTTTTGCTAATCTGCAACCAAGATGGTCACCTAATTATAATCTTAGCCAAGCCGATTTACTATTGTATTTGTCAATTTTCTACTAGTGTGTCCAGAAGGATTTCATGGATACAACTGTCAGGAGACATGTAGCATCACTTGTAGAGATCCAAAGAATTGTGACTCCATATCAGGGCAATGTAGTGGTATGAATATATTACATTATTAGCATATTATTAATTCTACTATAATTATACTACTCCTTTTGGTCCTTAATACATTAAAATTCTCGCAAAATTACACCCCAAAAAAATTAATCTGCAATTCTTGTTTGGAAAGGAATAAAAAAAAAATCATTTAGGTTAGTTGGAAATGATATCCGAGTGTTAAACTATACATTGCATGCAATGAAATGTATGAAGATAACGAACAGTATTCAAGCTCAAAAGTTCATTAAACAATACAACGTTTGGAGAGGAGCAAACACGGACCCCTAAAACATCAGAGGTTGGATCAGGTGCCATGGAGGAGTGAGCATCTCCTGCTGACCGGTTACACCCACCGTGTGCTCCTTGTCATGATCTGGTAATAACAAAAATATCCGTCGACAATTCAGTGTGTAAATTGTGGTATAACAATTAGAACGAAAAACGTCAATCAGCATTTGAGTTCATGATAAATCATGTTTGCTGACAAAGTCATCGTATCGACCATAGAACTTACGAAATGACGGTTTAAACGAGACTGCTGCTGTTTTTGTTTCATCAATTTGTTGGTCAATAACTTACCTCGTTTTAGAAACTGTTCATACGTTTATCAAAAAGCTTTATTGTTAGATTATCATTAGCGTTTTTTCCCCAGTAAAATATCCATATATAAACAGATGTGTCAGACCCTGTGGCATCTTTTATTTCAAGCTCACTGGGATATATCGTATTGACATACAAATGGAAATAAACATTGTTAATTGACAGTGCCTCGACGAAATATCTAAATGTCGAATTGAAGGCCACAACAAGTGTTTTCTTTTCACGTACAAGATTGTGAACAAATTCTGCTTCGGATGAATACAAAAAATAGGTCTGCTAATAACGAGGCGCAGTTGGTACCAATGGGAATTCTAATAGATTCTTGGAAGTACTGGTCTCCAAAAACCACATAGATATTGTCAATCAGAAACTCAGAAGCATCTTTTAATATCAACTTCAGAGTACCTGTATTTACAATCAGAATGTTTTTCAACAAAATAATTTTGCAAATGACCAATGACAAGGTGATTAAATTTACGAGTTCCATTTTTATTGAAAAAGCAGCTGTCACTGATATAAAAAAAAAAAAAAAAAAAAAAAAAAACAGAGGCCAGTTTTACCAAAGAACATACGACTATGACCAAAATTTAAGTCTGCCTATTACTTCCTATTTCACATTGATTTGAAAAATGGTTTTAATCTTTTTAAAAAGAATTTCACAAAATATTCTTATGCTAGCAAATTTTAAACAGAATAATTAATTTTGCAAAATTTTCCAAGCAACGGGCCCCTGGACTTTAATTTATCGTGAAGAATGGTTGTATATTAAGTTGAAAGGTCGTAAGATTTTATGTTGTTTATTTTGGTAATCTTTTGTGATTTCAAATATTCCAAAAGATCCTTGGAATTTTTAAGTATCCACATCTGATTTACACCACCTCTCGAATATATTGTTGCACAGTACTCCTGAAGTTTCTCCTTCACTACTTTTCATATTTTAGTGAGGAGTAAAAAAAGAGGCTTGGTAAAACATTCACTGGATGCAACTGATTACACCGTCCATTCCAAAACCTTTGATTTGAAGGGTTGCTTTTAAAAATGGCGTCAGACTTTGAAACTTGACAATGGCACTGAAATTGCCGCTATTAACGATGGTTTACAAATTATACTTATTGATAAGTGCAGTATCGTACACTGCATTTTTGTCGAAAGATGTAATTCCCTATTTTTTCTCTTCTTTTCTTGAATTTAGATTCTATCAATTTTCGTTAATATGCAATCGCCCTTCACTAAAAGGATACTGTGGGTTTAAATATGTCCAAAATTTCATACAGTGTGTCTTTGTTTTATTTTATTGAGTCTTAGTCAGTATGAATTGAAAAATAACGTTAGAAATTTTAATTTGTTAATTAATTAATTAGTTAACTTTTTTTTTCATTTCCTTTTATGCATTGTCATAATATTTGCTTGTTTAGTACTTATTACATTTTTTATAGATACAACTCGAACAACGTTCGTGCGTGACTACTTATTTAATTATGTATTGTTCATTTCTAGTTGAACATCATTTTTTGCTGTTTAATTGTTAGATTACTAGCGCAATGAAAAAACCACTAATTATAGAATATTACGCGGTGGCTGTCCAAAAGTTTTTATATTATATTTTAAAAAAAATGAGATTTGGTCATCATGAAAATTAATGAAACAACTTTGTTGAAACTGAAATTGTCGGGCTCAGTCAAAGTTTCCAAGAAAAAAAAAATGTTTTAATTGTGTAATAACACGTTTTGCTTTTTTTATTACAGTGATAGGACATGCGTCAGACTGTGATACAAACAGTCAGTGCTATCCATCTCTTTACGGTGTTATATCAACTCTTTGTTTAAGCATTGCTTTAAATATATTTTCCGCAATCTGGTGAGTTATTTTTTTTTTTATTTTTCATTTATTTTTTTTATTCTTAAAACCAATCATGAATTTCTCTTATGATATAAGGTCACTGGCTTCTATTTGATATTTTAATATGCAGGTATTTTTTTTCCTTTTGATTTTAGGATTTTCAGAAATAGAGCATGTAATGGACAGAATCAAGAAAAGAAAAACAAGAAACAGTTGTCCACAGAGCAAACAACATCTAACACAGAGATCTATGACAAAGTAGAAGACAACGCAGGTTACCAGGAACTGTGTCAAATAAGTCAGCCTTCCAACTATGACAAGTTACGTTAGCGGTAACTCGCAGAAAATAAGTCCTCTTATTGTCTGTGTAATTAATTCAATTTGTATCCCTTTACTAAATAAAAAAAAGCTTTCAAATGATACATTTATTGATGATACCAGTCAATGTACACGTGAAGCAAGAAATTACATGCAAATGGAAGGTAGCATTTTAACAAACTGTTATAATTATTCAATAAAATTTCAAATTCCAAAGGCTGAAAAGTTGTGAAGAAATAAACAGTCTGGAAAAATGATTATATTCATGTACGATGTCAACATTATTGGCATGACCTCTTATGGATTTTTTTTTTTTTTTTTTTTTTTTTTTTTTTTTTTTTTTTTTTTTGCGCTCTCTGAACCATTGTGAGAATCATTACAACGAAGAAAAACAGAGGAAGATGGAACAGCTCTCTGATAAGACATATATCTTTTCAAGAAAAATCCTAATATGTCCGATAATTTATCTTACAAGAACTTATTTATGGACACAAATATGTTGTAAGTAAATTCAAAACCAATATAAGACACAAAAATTAACCTATGTTTTCTTTTGTTCATATATATAATAGATATCAACATTTAATGTATAATACTCGCTGACAGTTTTGTTTCACTTTTTTACAAATTCAAAGCTTCCCATCTCTTTATAAATTATTTAAAATTTACAGTAATTTATCAGGTAGCATATATAGATTTTTTCTTAGAAGTGCATGTTCTCCCATAAACAAATATTTCAAAGAAAAAGATAGCTCTTGCTGATAGATGCATTTTCTGGAGAGTACAGAGAACAATGTGATGCTCAAACTTAACTAGAATGTTCCAAGGAACGCATGTGTAGCCTGCTTTGTAGCTTTATTAAAGATGTAAATAAATCTAAGTGTAGTTAGCTATTCATTTACTACTAGCATGATAGGTTTGCAGAAAAGTGCATCCACGGATAGTATAAGACTGCAAAAGAACCTGATAATTAAAGAAAATATAATTCCCAACCCTCAAATAATTTAATTGAAATTATTGTAGATAATTATTTACCATTTTACATGTTACATGTATCAAGACGTGTTTCAAAGTTTTTACTCCACAAACATGTATAAACGCTCGTTATCAACACCCGCAACTCAAAACTCAAAAGACATAAATTAAACTGTCTATGGTATTTTTTGCAGACAAGTAAGACAAAAGTCAAGGCCAAGTGGATTGTAACGCTGGCATTTTTTCAGCGTGTTTTATGACAATCAGTGCATATGCTAAATAGCATAGACGTACCTCTTAATTGTCAAAAATGAGCTGTATATTGGTACTATATACTATTTTGTAAAGTAGGTCAAGGGTCAAGGATATGAAGAAGCCTTAGTATCAAGCAATATATGTGCAAAATATCAAATCAATATCTCCTACAATTCTTGAGACACAGCGTATGTAACAGACGGACAGACAGACAGACAGCTAGACAGACAGACAGACAGATTGATTGATTGATTGTATATTGTTTTACGTCCCATTCGAGAATTTTTCACTCATATAGAGACGTCACCATATACCGGTGAAGGGCTTCAAATTTTGACCTTTACTCGGCACTCAGGGCCATTGAGCAGTGAGGGATCTTTATCGTGCCAACGCCTGCCGTGACACGGGGCCTCGGTTTTTAAGGTCTCAGGCAGATAGACACAGGGTAAAGTGACCCCTAAGTGTCGCTCTGCTCTGCAGGCGACACAACATTTAGCCCTTCATTAGTCCTATATAATTTCGAATATGAACTTAATGTGTATGACAATAAAGATGAATTTCATACCTTATACTTTAATTTCATATTGTTTAATACATTATTTTTTTGTATATTAATTTTTGTGTTCAGTAGTAATAATTTTCTGGATTATATTTTGTGTGTGATTCTTTTACTGTGATTTCTTGTACTGATATCATTAGGGTTGGAGGTCGACAGTCTTTAAAGGACTCCTTAATAAATCTCCTTCTATAGAAGTTATAAATATTTTACGTGCTTCTTCGGTCATATTGTAAAATTAAATAAAACTTTTAGTGCACTGGATATCAGTGAGCTGAGAGTGATGATTTTTTTTCCTGAACAGAAAGCGGGTGTTTCATTCAAGTTTCAGAGAGAGAGAGAGAGAGAGAGAGAGAGAGAGAGAGAGAGAGAGAGAGAGAGACGTGTTTTCTGTTAAAAAAGAACGTTCACCATTTTCGACATTTAATGGGTGAATTAGGAAAAACAAACAAATGTGGTATCACACGGTCAGTCATCTTGCTGTAGGAAAAAATATTGCGGTATCACACTGTCATTCATGTCAGTCATCTTCCTGTAGGAAACACTAATGTTGTATCACACTGTAAATCATGTCAGTCAGCTTCCTGTAGGAATCACGATTGTTGTATCCCACTTTCAGACATCTTCCTGGAATCAATCTGGCTACATTAAATACAAAGCTGTGCTTAACCTTATCTCTTTGTTATTAAATGTAAATAGAAAGACTTGCATCTGTTTAATGCAAGATACAAGAACTTTCTTCAAAATCTGTTTTCCTTTTAAAAATGGTGCTATTTTGCTAAAGCCTTCATTGCACCTTAAACGCTTATTTAGTACCTTTTCAATTTTTCACTAAACACTTGCAGGGTGTTTTAGAACAGAACACAAGCAGAACAAGCAAAATGATATATAGATGAGACAAAAGATTTGTATGATAAAAGGGATTTATGATGTAATCATTGAATGAAATATTTCCCATGTATCTCTTTGCAGATACTAATGCATATGCATATTTTTTTTTACTTAAATATACAGTAAAGATAGTTTACCTTTATCAGTTTAGATATTCAACTTTCCTCTGACAGGTTGACCGAATTTTATTGATAAACTGTCAATATTTGTCTTAAGACATGGTTGAATTTCCCATCGTAATGATTTTATACACATCGACAATAAATTATCTTTTATTGTAGAAATAAATATACTAGTATACATAGAATGCATAAGTCTGTGTTCATTTTTGTACATATCATAAATACCAGTAAAGGGCAGTCTTTTTAAAGTTTGTTTCATTCTGTGAACTTCCATAAACTGGATTTCACTACTTTGTCGACTTTATTATTTGCATGTTACAAAAAGAGAGGGGGAAAAAACCCCACTTAAACAATACTTGTTACTATTAACACATTTTCTGACATATGTATGGTTTTATCAGGGTTATATATTAAAAAGAGAATAAATTGCACCGTAAATTTAAATCACTGTAATGGTTTATTGCTACGCTTAAATAAACGATAACTTATAAATGTTTCAAATAAATGAAAAGATATGAATGACGGAATTGTAATGCATTATCTTCTTGGGGGATTTATATTGATAGCAAATATAGCATACGCTTACGGTAGTTTTTTTTTGTCAAACTAATTTTCATCTCTCTCTCTCTCTCTTACCCATCATAACCGACTTGTGAGGAATTGGAGGAATGGAATATGTTGTGGGGAAAGTGTTTTCCTATCATGTTTTTATTTAAATAATGGGCAATTCTTATAGAAAATACCTGTTTTGTTGCTTTCTCTTCTTTCTTATCTTAAAAATAACCTATCTGTCGTTTCAGTATGTATTCGAAAATTATGGGGAATGTTTTTTATCACTTATTTTTATGGGGAACATTATCAGAACTCCTCTGGATTTACTATTAAATTAAAACAACATCACCCTTAATTTTTACGTGTATTTTTCTCCACATCTTCCGCTAATTCATGGTTACAATTTAATATACACATAAAACATTTCGATTAAACTCCATTTAATAGCCTAAAATTGAATGTACACTGCATGTCAACCTTATTGAGTCATTCTTGCGACCTTCGATATGACGTCACAGCATATGCACATTGTTACGTCGAACATCGAGCCCGATTCAACGTATTGATAATAGATTTTGTTCTTTGATATTTATAATTTTAAACGTTATCATGGTTATCCATTAAAAACATGTTTGCACCTAGATATTATTTTAGTTACGCAAAGTTGTTTTAAGTTTTTTTAAAGAACGTATTATTCCCTTTATGGCTAATAAGACTGAAATATTACCAGAAAAAAAAAAAAAATTCAGTGTGATTTCAATTTTGTACGATGTAATTTTGCTTTAACCATTTTTTTTCCATCGCAGTTATAAAATACAAAAATATTGATGATTTTTTTTCTCTTTAATAATTACATTGAAATAGCAAATTACAATTTTACAGTGAAAAAAAAAATACAGTTTATATTGCATTAACTATCACTCCCGATCGGCTCTAGGTGCCCCATTTTGGTTTACCGGTAATTGTTTTTAAACTAGCGCCGTATTGTAACAAAGCTTGAACGTTTTCGGAAAAGGGGGTATATGTGCTCAAATAAGATAGATATACTGACAACCAAGAAAGGTAGTTTGAAAATGAAATTCATTCTAGCGGCTATGAAATGACATGCTTGTTTTCAGTCCACGCGTGGGATTTTCACTTTTCATAAAACATGTTGATTGGCTATCAGAGATTTAAAATGCGCATGCATTAACAAAACAGGCTTCGTCTTAAGTACAATTTATTAACCCAAACCAAAATATTGGTACAAGGGGGTATATTAACATCATGTTTATCTTTTATGCATACTGGACATAAATTCCTAAATTACATAATTCTTTAATATTCTGTGTACAAAGTAATTGTACTAAGTTGAAGACGCTTGGTCTTCGGGAGTAGATGCTTTTTTATATAATTTTGTCTTAATGTACTATAATGTGGACATTTTAAAACAAATTCTATGTCACCTTATTCACAAAGATGGTATATTCTATCATTTCTCAAAATTCTGTTATACCTTCCTTGTTCAATCATTAACTTATGTGCAGAGAGTCTTAATCTTGTAATTAGTACTCTATATTTTAAATGTATTAGTTTACATAAATAAGATGGGGGGGGGGGTTAAAATTATCAACAAGGTGTTGGTAAATGAGACATTTTGGTGATTTACATAAAGGACGAGGGTGCTATTGATTGGCATTCGGCAGGAATCTGTGCGCACTTGAAAAATGAAAATTTCCTTGATCTGTCACATGAAATTTTAGCCGTCTTTTGATATATCGGGCTCCTGTGAAATAGGAAAGAGAAATATTTTTTTCCGATATTGTACTTTGATTTGCCATAAAAGAACTTGAAAATTGGCTAGATGAGTCATTTGGTACAAAAT